CGACTGAAACAATCACAGGCGATCGGTATCGAACGCAATTGATGCGTTTGAGCCGAGCATTGAAAGACAAACGGCCGCAATACAACGAGAGACACGATAAAGTGATTTTGCAGTATGACAATGCTCGACCCCATGTTGCGAAAGTGGTCAAGACATACTTGGAAACGTTGAAATGGGAAGTCTTACCCCACCCGCTGTATTCTCCAGACGTTGCTCCTTCTGATTATCACTTGTTTCGATCAATGGCACACGGCCTGACCAGCACTTCCGGTCTTATGAAGAAGTAAAAAATTGGATCGATTTGTGGATAGCCTCAAAAGATGACCAGTTTTTTCGACGCGGGATTCATACGCTACCCGAAAGATGGGAGAAAGTAGTGGCCAGCGATGGATAATACTTTGAATCATAAATGTATAACCAGTATTTTACAATAAAGTCTCGAATTTCGGAAAAAAAACGGCGGAAGCAAAGTTGTACAGTAGTTTAGCAGAAACGCCGCTATCTCATATTAGGCGCTTATCTCATAATAGGGGGCTTTCCTCCATACGTATATTTATATATACATATTTATATATACATTTAAATTATATATTTTGAGAACATCTACATTTTTTCTAGAATTTTTCATATGTGTATATTCTAAAATATTCCAAGATTTCTCTCATTTTATAATTTCTGATAAACTCTTATAAAATTTGAAAAAAATTTAAGGTATTCTTTTTTATTATAGAATGTATGAAACCTTAGAAATAAAATATTTCAGAGTTTGTATATAAAAAATTTTAAGAAAAATATAAACTTTCTCAGTATTTCTGAAAAATATTCCAATTCATATAAAAATTGTGGAAAAAATTTTTATCAAGGATAATAATTTATAAGGTAATTGTTGTAAAGTATAATATTTCAGCAATGTTGAGATAAAAAATCTTTCATGAAAAATTAATTATTTAATTACATGCAAGTTTTTTTATTTAACAATATTTTATATACGTTGTATTTTTTTTCATTTGCAGGTGGAATGGTCCACCGAGTTTAGCTTCAATGTCCACGCGAAATCAATCTATCCCTGCGAGGGAACAACAGGCATATCGGTTCTCTTTCAATATCCCACATGTCGTCTTCAAGGTGATCGTGTGCGCGTCTACGGACGTCTTCGGGCGGATGTGAGTTCTTTGGCGCCGCCGTCCGCCTTGCACTACGTGGCGGAATTAAAGGCAGCGCCAGGCAAGCATTCGCTGAACTTCGACTGCGATCTCTTCACTGAAAAGTTCATCGAATACTGTTTCGTTTATGTGAGCCAGGCGATCACTGGCGCGATGGCGGAAGTGAAGCTCGCGTGTATACCAACTTTCCCACTGCTAGGTGAGTAACGTGCAAATGCTTAAAAGCCGGGTGTCTTCACTCCCCCCCTCCAACAGATTTTCAGCCTCGTAATTCACCTCGAGAGATTGCTACACGTAGATTTTATCCTCTTAACGAGCCTCGATTGCTCACCGTTTGATAAATTAAAATAGATGAAACGTCTGATTTAGAGAAGTTTTTAGAGAAGTAAAATTAAACTTTAAATAAAACAATTAATTTAATGTATAATTATATCGATGTATAATTATAACGATGATTTAATTAAGAGGTAAGTTAATTCAATTTAATATATTGATATTGTTGTGCTTTATTATTATACTTTGAGATTTGATTTATTCTTTGAATATTCTATTCAGTATTTACTAAAAGATTAAATAAATTATAAATGGCTTACTTCTGTTTTCTTTAAGCTATAAATATTATAAATACACTGAGAAAAAAAAATTTCAATTAATTTTTATTTTGATAGTATCAACTAAATATTTATTAAACGTAAAAATATATTTATTTGGTATAAAAAACATTAATTTAATTTAACAATCACTTCTTTTTATTAAGTAAATATTTATTTATTGTAAGTAAATGTTTAGTTGGCAGTATTCAAATAAATTTTTATTTAAATTTAGGCTATTTTTTCTCAGTGTAAACTTATAATTTTTAAAATTATAATTTTATACACTGAGAAAAAATAACCTAAATTTATTTAAAATTAAAAAAATAGCCTAAATAATTTAAAAAATAGCCTAAATAAGAAATTAAATTTCTCGACAGATAATATCAAATTTTAAATTTAAATTAAAAAATTGCGGCCAAGTATAGAGTTTTATTCAGAACCTTTTAAGCTATTTAAACTATTTTGAGACATAATAAAGTATTCAACTTTTGAGACACCCTATACAAATTTTCCTCCTTTCTCATTTCAATTATTAATGTAGAAAACGACGCGGCTGGTTGGGGTCCTTGGAGCGCATGGAGCCCTTGCAGCAGCTCTTGCGTAGGTGGCGTTCGTAATCGATATCGATTTTGTGACACGCCACCCCCGAAATACGGAGCGAAATTCTGTCAGGTGAGTTTTAAAGATGGATGATGCAAAATGCGTGGCAATCAAATCAAATAGTGACGCTTTGCTCGAAATAGGGAAGAGCGGTCGAAACGGAATCCTGTGGTGGCATCGGCAGGATCGATTTTCAAGAGGCATGGAACACCGAAGGATGGGAGTGCCGACACGGAATGACATTAGCGGCCGCAAGACCGGAAGTCACGGCTCAGATTGGCGTACAATGTCGGTGTGGTTGTATTATCAATTTTGGAGATAAAGCCTTGAACAAAATACTAGCGGCGAATACTCAAGCTTGTCCCGGTCGTTCCTTTTGGCTGCTACAGGTAAATCTCGTGGGGACTATTTATATTATTTTCTTGCAACTTAAATAATTTTATACTCATTTAAAGAAAAAAAATAATACTTCTTTCTTTTTCGATTTTTCGGATATTTACGAAAGAACGATTTTGCTGAAGTTTAAAAACTTAGATATTATTTAGATATACAGATCTGAAAATAATTTTGATGAACTACCAAAGTAGTTAAGAATTTCAAACACGATGAGCAATATTACAAAGCTTTGACATTTTATCAATCGTTCTACATAATTATTTTGATGATCTAACAAAATTATTTTCAAATCTGTTACTTAATTAAATTTTTAGATGCTTTAGCAAAATCATGCTTTCCGTATAATAATTGATTCCAATTTATCTATAGGCAAAATCGAATTACATAATCCGACTACATTTGGATCAAACGCAGTTTCTCTGCCCAGGGCAATATTTTCGCGCTCGCGATGGTGATTCACTAAGCGCGGAACTCTTGACGGATATTGCGTTTGACAAGGGTGCACTCGCGACAGGAACGATATTCTCCTCGGGTCAAAATTTGTTGCTTGAGTTTTTTAGCGATGAGCACACCGCCTTGGGGGATTCCTGTGTGGGTGGCTTCTTAGGACATGCGAGCATATTTCGTAAGCGTCATAACTTATCATATATTAACACAATCAATACGAACTAAAGAAAACTAAGAAATGTTCCTACATCGGTTGAAACTAAATCTTTAATGCTTAAATATATGAATCAATGTGAATTATATATATATATTATTATATAT